GGTTACCTAAGTTAAAAAAAAAAAATTTTTATTAATTTAAATTATTATAATATTTATATAATACTAGTTCTTATTATAGCTTTTTACTAATATATATATTTTAATTTTTTTAGATATTTTATAAGTTAAATTCTTTTAAATTTAGTTAGTTACTAAGTTAAATTAATATTACTAATCTACTAATATATATTTCTTGTTTACAAATCAAATAATTTGATCTGTAGTTTTTTTTTTATAAATTAGATCTAACCTAATCTATATCTTTTAAATATAATTTTTTCTTAGATCAAGTATTAACTAATATAACTATCAAAAACCATACTACTTTACTAACTCAGAATTTTTATTATACAAGTTCTCTGCTTATAGATTCTATTAAAATTTATTTATATGATATTATATCATATTTCTAATATCTGATTGATATTAATACAACTTGATTTACAAGATTATAACCTTAGAAATGAACAGAATTTACTGAAAATTAAATATAATACAAAGATATGAATAATTATTCAAATTTATTAACATTAGGATTAAGAGTTGAGTATGTGATTCCGTGATTCCATATTTATTTTAAGGGTTTGGATTAAATAGAACATTCGATCCTCGTATATATATAAATAATTTTTATACAAACAGTTTATAATTAAATAGAGACCTAACAGTGCATATCTTGGAGTGCAAAAAAATGAATACGTAGAACGGAAATATGCATGTGATAAACAAAAAATCCAATCGCGTGTTTTCTAGTTTATAGGCAGAAGTTCGTCTGATCGGCTAATTACTCAGGTACCTTTACAAACGTTGTTTTTTAGCTTTAAAGAAGTGTTAGAAAGTTAACTTTAAAAGTACAATAATCTCAAATTTTATAAGAGTTGGCTTAGGACTTTTTCAAGCGCCTCACTCAATGGATCCGAGGTTAAATTTTAATTAGTCGGAATTAGAATAAACTAATCGAAATATTGACATCTTTTTTTTTCACTGATTGGCTAAAATTTAAAATCCACAATGAATTTTTCAGTATATCGTTACCATTTAATCGTAATAAACACTTCAATTAATGACAGCATCTCGATTACTTTCAATCACATTGAGGGAGCTGCTTGAGAACGCTCTTAATAAAGACTTTTCATGTTAGGTAAAGAAAAATCAATATATATATATTTATATTTAAAGATCTTGTGTTTTAAGACAAAATAAGCTTGTTAGTGAGGATGTCCTTAGAATATGTTTTAAGTTAGATTAACTCGAAGTGTGTTTTTTAAACACACTTTAAGAGTTAATTTCTCACCCGAGATGAAATAGAAGATAGACGAATGGTATACTATACGTAGTCGAAAAGATATATACATCTGACCAATCACTATCGGCATATTTACAGCCAATCAAACAATCGTGCTACTGATTATCAATAAATATTCAAAGGCTGTCTTTTTTAACGATCACACTGTTACCATGACTACTACTACTTCGAAAGGTAAGTAAAAAAATTCTCAGGATATACAAAGTTGATTCACGGTTTTCATATATTGAAAATTTTAAAACAGACCCGGCAGACCGGTTTAAATCTTATATATAAAAATTATTAAAAAAAAAAATCCGCCTTGTTATTATAAATTTTTCAAATTTGACCCGGCCAGGACTATGAAAACCAATTAATTTTGTATGGCCTTATAAAAAATTTTTTTGGAAGTGTGTACCCACTTTCATTGTACGTTTTTATAGATTTTATAAATATATATTTTTTTAGAAATGCACTACTTTTATTCACATTGTCTTAATAAAAAACTAGCCACTTTGTACGTTTTTGTGAAAATTTGTTACTTTCAGTAACCCATCAATTGTTGCAGGAATGCATTACTCTTATTCATAGTGTGCTTCTTTCATTTTTAAAGACTCTGAGCAATTTGACATTGTTAAATGCTATCAGCAATTCCTGGAGGATGATCCGGTATGATTTACATATAATGCATCAACGAATTTTCAAATTTATTGGCAAGCTTTTTAAATATTTATTTGTATTTGAGATCAGGATGTATCCATGCCAGTCGCGGCGATAGAGTCACTTGTTGAATTAATAAAACATAGTAAAGGTAAGTTCTTATTTAGCATTTATAAAAGACGCGAATCTTGAAATTTATTTTAATTCTATTTTATATAAGCAACCACATTGACGGAGTTCATGGAATCTTTGAAGGATGCTAGTCAAAAACTTAAATCATCCATAAGAAATTCAATTTCGTTATCAGCAGGTACCGATTTGTTTTTAAGGTTTGTAACAAGAACTTCACACGATGTTACGGTGAGCAAATGATAAGTCATAATGATATACTAATAAAACAATGTAAAGTTATGCTAAAAATTAAACTTTTCTACTATTAATATGGTCTAGAATTTTGAAGCATGTAGGGAGCATTTGATAAATAGTGGAAAAGTTCTTGTTGAAAAGACTGCTGCTGTCCGTGAAAAGATTGGCGAATTAGGTGTACAATTTATTAAAGATGATGCTGTACGTATTCTTTTGGAGAGTGCCTTTATTGTATAATTTAATGAGGGGGAGAAGGTTTAGCGATTTATCATTTTAATATAATAAATTATCCAGTTAGAAGCTTTAAATTATAATATTACTGGGGAGGAGATTACACTAAAAAAAATTATGTAATAAACGGCACTCTCATTATGACTAATTTAAATCTTTTATAATATGTGTGTGTTTTTTTTCCTACAACTTTCTTTTTACAACCTCATTAGACAATTTTAATCCATTCTTACTCTCGGGTGGTTATGTTACTTCTCCAACGTGCTGCAGCTTGCAAAAAGAGATTTAAAGTTTATGTTACAGAATCTAGACCCTCTTGCTTAGGGTAAATAATAAATTTCTTCATTTATATTATTCATAATATGTGGCTTATGCTTTTTATCTAATATGCACGTTATGATTATTAGGATTAGAGCCACTGAAGTATTATGCAAAGCAGGAATTCCGGCAACAATCATCTATGATACGGTAGTCGGTTATATTATTGATAAAGTTGATGCCGTTTTTGTTGGAGCAGAAGGTGTTGTTGAAAATGGGGGACTCATCAATGCTGTAAGACTTATACTGAATTTAGTGTATTTAAGATAAAAGTAAATTAAAATTTTTGGGTGAATTTCCATCAAATAACAGATTGGAACATATCAACTTGCCATTGTTGCAAAAGCTGCCAATAAACCATTTTATGCTGTTATTGAAAGGTAAATACAAAGTATCTAATTTTTATTATGTGAATAGAATTTGATATTAACATATTATACATTGTCAGCTATAAATTTGTTCGTCTGTTCCCGCTCAATCAATACGATCTTCCAACTCACACTCCCGATTTACTCACGTTTCCTGATTTAGAGCAAAATCATACTGACTTATCAGAAGATGAAGTTATAGGAAATTATGAGGTTAGCTATTTATATACCGGTAAAAAAATATATTATATTTTAAATAATTATATTAATTTTTTCGTTTAAATACTAGGCGATTAACCCCACGGTAGATTATACACCACCCGATTACATTACGTTATTGTGCACGGATTTAGGGGTATTGACGCCGTCCGGTGTAAGTGACGAACTGATAAAACTTTACTTATAACTATATTGAAATCTATTGCATATTGCAATACATCGTATTTCATAATAAAGAGTCCTAAATAATGGTGTCAATATTATATGTTTATCTATTCGAAGATATTTCGAGCTAATTAAATTAAAACGATATATAATTGATATAAATTAATAGTTAGTCAAATCTATATTAATACTAATGTTTTATACGATCGAATTGGACGGGTATTTTTAAGTATCTGGATCTGATCCGAAAAGTCGGCTCGGGTCAAGTATATTGTGATCAGCGAAACTTGATCACTAAGATAATATTGACTCTGTCGCTCCAGCTGGGCAGAGTTCGCATAACGTCCACGAAGATCCTTCACGAAGTTATCTCTACTTTCTCGATAAGAGGCGTGGATTTGGCACGAGTTCAATATTTTACCCTTTATTAATTTTTTACAAATGTGAACTACCCTTTTACCGGTACAACTTCTTTACTAAATATGCAACTATATGCTAGATAGATATGCTAAATATGCTAATAATGCTAAATATGACGATATGATCCGAAACCGTGAGATCCGAAGAATCTGTATTTAAACTACATCAGCAAAATATATAACTGAAAACTTACAAAAGAAATTACGCCCTGAAACCTTTCGAAAAACATTTAGAAATATTGGTCGTCTCATTAAGCATGAT